AAATGGAAACTGTACTTCAATAAAGACTTTTGTACATTACTGCCGGCTAGCGTTGGTCCTCTGTGAGCTGGGACCTGGAGCCAGCTCTGACATCTGTGCTGGATCTTAATGAGTGGGAAGAGATATATGGGGAAATGTGCTTACACAGGTATCCCAGAATCAAACCATAAAGGGCTTTTTAGGGAAGTTGTTGTTGTTGTTGTTGTTGTTGTTGTTGTTGTTGTTGTTCTTCTTCTTCTTCTTCTTCTTCTTCTTCTTCTTCTTCTTCTTCTTCTTCTTCTTCTTTTGGGAGCCACCCAGAGTGGCTGGGGAAACCCAGCCAGATGGGTGGGGTATTTTTTTTTTTAATTATTATTATTATTATTATTATTATTAGGTTTAGACCTGAAACAAACCCATAACCAGTGCCACTCACATTAAGAGAATTCCAGAAATCTGGGCAAGCTGCAGCTTGCAAACAACTTTCAAGCCCCACATCTGACACATTTCAGGGGGTTCTAGTGCACAACAATTACCAAATCTCTTTCTTCCTAGAACAGGCATAGTTGTGAAATCAGTGGCAGCCAATAAAACATGTTCTTGGCCACTCTCTCAACCAGGCAGCTTAAGTTCTGACTGATGTACTCCCAGACACTGAATTGGCTCATTCTGGGGGGAGTGTTACCCCACTGGGCTATGATAGGCTTATTGAATTGGTCTCATCAGGCTCCAGTTCTAAATTATTCAGACACCGATACTTGACTGTGTTAAGTTCCCAAGCTCTGATGGCCCATTAACCTCCTTGATTTTGCACGAAAGACTGCCCATCTAAACTACTGGAGGCAAGTCTAGCTCTGCATCAGTGTGTTATGGTTTTGATTGACAAATTAGGCCTACCGGCTGATAGAGGGGTGGGAGGGAGATTAAATAGCCTAATATGGCACTGTTTCTCTTGTAAACAAAAGAAAATGACTCATCTGTGTTTCTCTCCTCTCTCCCTGCTCCCCATTCCCAATCTTTTCAACAGATGCTAAGGAGGAGAAACCAAAAGCTGTGAGCAAAAAACCTAAGGCAAAATCCAGCAACGTTAAGTCTTGGATGCCAAATGAAGGACTCCCATCTGTTTGCCTTGCTCAGTGCTGCAAGCGCCTTAGTTGTGATTAGGAGCTACTTCTCAACAGTGTCGAAACTTGACAGTGTGGGGAATGCTGGAAGGGACCCAGCTTCCTGCCATGGAGGTCTGAAGTATTAAACTTTTCCCAAAGCTGCAAATTGAAGCAGAAAGTGCTGGATCTGATGTTTCCGCAGTGACTTGTATTATGACAGCACGAGAGCTTACATTCCTCTGGTGAGAATCTGCAGTGTGTTAAAAGTGCTAGAACCTAGTTTCGTAGGCGCAAGCTTGCATACAAGCACATGCTGTTGCGACGATGTTGACCAAACTCTTGGATGCAGTCAGGCCAGCGTGCCTGCGAAACCGAAGGAAGCAGCGCACTGAAGAGGGAAAGATGCCAGGGCAGACAAGAAGCAGGGCACCCTGGAGAAAGCTGGCCAGTAGAACAAAGACAACTGCCCTGGCCAGCAAGAAGCCAGTTACAAGCTTTCCCCTTTTCACGTAGTCAAATATTCATGAGGTTCATTTGCCACAACAAAAGTAAGTTGAACAAGGTCAGCTTGCTCTGACTCCACCATGTTTAATTTTGCTGTGACTTCACAACCATTCTGTAGGCAGTACAATCACATCTTATGCTGGGGTTCGGTTCCAAGAGTTCCACATATACATGAAAATCACGTGTGCCCAAATCCTTGGAGCTGCCCTCATGCTAGTGAGCAAGAGGGAGCAAGAATCTCCTGTACTGTTAGGAGGGTGTTATATCTATAAAAGGCGTTCCTATTACGGGTGCCAGCTCAGGGAAGCCAAGCCATTTGGGGAGAGGGGGCCGCCCCCCCACATCCTGAAGAATCGGGAGAGCAGCTCCTCCTCCTCCTGCCGCAGAGGGGGAGAAGGGTTGAAGCAGCTCCCTGCCAGTGGTGGCGCCAGAAGGAGGCGGAGGAAGAGCTGCCAGCCATTGAAGCCATGCTGTTTAGGCATTCAGCTCCTCCCAGCCTCCTGACGTTACCTGTGCAACATTGGCCTCCCAATTGCCCTTGCAAGCTGGCGCCTCTGGTTCCTGTACAAGAGGCATCACCATAACCTCATAAGCAAGAAATGAGAGTGTTATGTACTGAAGTTCTCACCCTGGGCCAGCAGGGGGATACTGTAGATAGTTTTCACTCAGGTCCACATATGCAAATAAGGGATTGAAAGTGACGTTCAGTGATTGGATAGTTACAGAAAGCGCTACAGTTGCATTGTAGTGAAGCTCTATATAAGCAGGCTGGCTGAACCCTTCAGTTCAGTTCTGTTCTGGCCTGTGCATAAACAAGCGCTGTTTGAAGAATCGCTGTGTTGTCTGATATGTTCACCCACAACTTAACAGAGAGGGTGCCCAGAGCTACACAATTTCATTATACAGTGGTACCTCAGGTTACATACGCTTCAGGTTACAGACGCTTCAGGTTACAGACTCCGCTAACCCAGAAATAGTACCTCGGGTTAATAACTTTGCTTCAGGATGAGAACAGAAATTGCACTGCGGTGGCATGGTGGCAGCGGGAGGCCCCATTAGCTAAAGTGGTGCTGCAGGTTAAGAACAATTTCAGGTTAAGAACGGACCCTTGGAACGAATTAAGTTCTTAACCCGAGGTACCACTGTAGAAGTGAAGTTGAACTCAAGTTTCTCATCTCTAAGTTTCACCCTGCCAGGTTGGTTGACTGCCCAGAGAGTTGAAAGCCCCCCCTCCGCTTTGGGTAAGCTAAGGTGAAAAGTCCTTGTGGAAAGCTACACGAAAGTCCAAGGTCATTCTGTGGACTTGGCACCCTACCTTGCAAAATGAAGTATTTTATTTTTGTTCTGCATTGTCTTTACTCCTGCTAAAGGCTTCCTTGAAACCTGAGTGTGGCCGCGGCTGTGATGCATTCATTTCTTCCTTTGTCCTTGTTAATTAGAACAATGATAAATGCCGTTCGGGTGAAATGGAGCTAAGCTGAAAGTATGTGGCAATCTTCCAATCCTAAGGAAAGAATGACACGGGACTAATTAACAAAACTCAATCAAGGGTTGTTCTACAAGGGCAGCCGTGTTCACATCTTTTAGCAGTGGAGGACGGTGTCTGCTTACCCCAGTAGTCTGTGCGACGTTACAGCTCGAGCTTCTAGATAGTTAATAGGAATGATATACAGTTGAGTAGGTCAAAGCAATGTACTTAACTTGTTGAGAAAGGCAGAATTTCAGCTTCCCTGTCCCTGCCTCTTCCCTGTTTCCAGTCTGTGCGATCGGCAGTTTTGCTGCAGGTGGAAAAATATCCATGGCTGGTTCACACATGCACGAGCGGATGTGTATGGATCTTTGCAGATCTAATGCCACATACAGAACATCTTTTTTAACAGTGTGATTTTAAATATTCAGCCAACATTAATTAACTGTAGAGAAGCCCAGGGGTACACATGAACTCATACATGAACAAACCTTAACAGTGCAAATGCCCCATCACTAAGTACCGCAGAGGAAAAAGGGACTCTCCACAATGTAGAGCACTCTTTTTTTTATTAGAATCATGTAATTGTAGTGTTGGAAGGGACCACGAGGGTCATCTAAGCCAATCCCCTGAAATGCAGGAATTGTTTTGCCCCATGTGGGGCTCGAACCCATGACTTTGAGGTTACGACTCTCATACTCTGCAGACTGAGCTGTCCTTCAGGCTGTGCATGTAGACGCCCACTATGAATGGAGTTAATGGTACAACAAACTCCATTCGAAAAATGGACTTTCCCCCATAAAATGGTAAATAAAGGCATTTGTGGGGTTTTTTATTCAGGAAGTAAAGTAGGCAACATACGTCTCTGAATTAGTACATCTGGAAGGGGTGGGATTCTGCTTGTGATTTGATTGTGTGTGTCCCTCCGATGCCACTACAGTGGTACCTCGGGTTACATACGCTTCAGGTTATATACGCTTCAGGTTACACACTCCACTAACCCAGAAATAGTGCTTCAGGTTAAGAACTTTGCTTCAGGATAAGAACAGAAATCGGGCTCTGGTGGTGCGGCAGCAGCAGCAGGAGGCCCCATTAGCTAAAGTGGTGCTTCAGGTTAAGAACAGTTTCAGGTTAAGTATGGACCTCCGGAACGAATTAAGTACTTAACCTGAGGTACCACTGTATACATTTTGTATGGTTTATTGATGTGTTATTCTCTTCTATGTGTACTATTATCTGACAATTGATATGGGAAACTGTATTTAATGTTTTGTTGTAATAATTTATTAAATGTTTTGTTGAAATAATTTATTAAGCAAACAAAACCCAGAGTTTGAAATATATTTTAAACAGGTACTATCTGAAATACCTCCATGTTCATTCCCCCAGCTGCATAACCTGTTTTTAATTAAAATTAGAAGTCTAACAGCCTTCTAAGAAATGCTCAGACTAGGCCTTCAACGGGTCTCTGAGGAAATGAAATTCCAGGACTATAGAGAGCAGAGCCTGTGACAGCATATGCCGATGACGTCACCCAGACTGTAGTATCTGACTTGTTCCTCGGAGGAGCTGGAGGCAACTAAATGTATGGGGAAATGGCTGGAGTTTAAGGGACAGAAAACCGAGTAAGCGGAAGCTGCTGCTAATTTTTGAGCCTACTTGGTAGCGAGGAGAGCAACATACCTCTCCACTATCACTGTGTCTGCTCCATGGTGACCCGTGAAGCTGCTCTGGGTGGTTGGCAGTCCATATATTTTCAGTAATTAATGTGTTTTTAGCACCTCAAAGGCTAATAAATTTATGATGGCAAAAGCTTTGGTGGACTGAAGTCTGCTTCGTCAGACGACATCTCATTTCATGCATCTGAATTGGACTGTAATCAGTGAAAGCTTTAAACTAACCAATTTATGATGGCATGAGGTGCTTCAAAAACTTTCCTTGTTTTTGCTGCCACAGAGCAGCACAGCTACCTCTCTGAAAGTAACTGAGGCACTGCTCTTCACAAAAACCCTATGTGTTAGTGCTGTGTTCAGAGGCCTGGGACTCTTAGAAATAAGAACCTGGTCTTAGGATATGCTTATTAGATGGACAGGTTTTAGAGTTTCTTCCTTGGTTACAGACACAGCTTATCTACACTTGTGCTTTGGTCTGCTGAGTGGCGGAGCTACACTTTTTTCTGGGGTGGGGTGGGGGGGGGCTTTGCAACCAGCAGTGAGGTCTGGGTAACCACGGTTGCCTTCTTCAGTGGATTTGTTCCACGACAGATCACATTTTTTAAAATCAGCAACTACATCATAGATTTTGATTAAAATTGCTGTACTGGCTTATCTCACATGTCAAAAACACTGGTGTGAATAAAAAAATCCGCGTGCCTTATAGTTTTCGAGTTATAGCTTAGTTGGTAGAGCATGAGACCTTGTGGTCCCTTCCATCTATTCTATGTGGTGCATGAAAAGTAGGAAAATGTGAGATGCGCTTTAAAAAGCAATCTTTTTTAATGCGAGGTGGACTAAAGTCGCTTATGGGGCCCTTCTGGGATTAGGAGCCCTGAAGCTTAAACTTCATTAGTTTCATAGTAGATCTGCCCTTGTCTCTTTCCAGGCACAAGTCCGCATTTAAAAGCTCCTTATCGGAGCTTTTCTTTTTCTTTTTTGCCCTGGAGCTTTCCCAGTGAAAACCCGCTCTTAAAGCTCAATCGGTCAATTTGGAGGAGTCATAAGTGTGGATAAGCCCTTAAATGTACTTAGCCTGGAGTATTGTGTAACCCTGGTCTGGCTCAAGGAATAGATCTGGCATAAGCTTTACAGGTAGGCCCCCCCCATTTAATGCAACGATGAATCAAACTACAAACACTTACAATACGCATGCAACTGGCAGAGTCAGTGTGGAGTTGTGCCTACAGGGCTCAGAGTTTAGGACCGGGAGTTAGGACCAAACTAGTGCATGTCATTACAGGAATAAAATGCTGCATCTTCTTTTCAACATTTGTGATTGAATATGATATGCTATCTGTATCTTTGACACAGTCACAGTTCTGTGGTGGGCAAAGAGAGTGAGTTTAGCCCTGCAATAGTTCTGATGAAGTGCCTGTGGTATGGAAATTTCCATTGGCACCCATGTAAATAGCAGTTTCATGGGGCGTGGGGGTGGAAGCAGACTGCGAAATGGTCAAGCTCCCTCTCTCTGCCTGCTGGCGTTCTGATCCTAGTGCCACTCCTTGCACCTGCTATTTGCTAAAGAAAAACGAGAGAGAAAAAAGATAAACTTAGCATTCATCAGCAATTGTTAAAAAGAAATACATGTCACATTTAACCGTGTATACAGACATTTTGACCCATAACTCATGAAACCAGGGTTAGAACTGCCACTCAGCCACAAAGCATGCTGAGTAACCTTGGGCGGTTTGCTGTGTCTAACCTACCTCACAGGATTGTTGTGAAAATAACAATCAGTGCCTTGTCTTGAGCACCTTACAGGAAGAGAGCAATAAAAAAAAACCAGGTTACAATAATGAAATCATTAGCTGCACGTAACTTAAGGCTATTCAATCAGGAAAAAGAAGGGTTTTCAACCCATGCTTCCCTAGTCAAAGATCAGTGCTCCTTTGGAGAGATGTTAAAAAGTGGAAAGGGGGTTGATGGAGACCTTCCACCTGCTGGGATTTCTGAAAGGCGATGGCTGTCAGTATCCACATATAACTGCCATCTTTACAGACGGATTGTGGTTTGCCCCAGCTAGGGTTCAAGCGAGAGTTGAGTGAAATTGTTTTCCTTGTCTGCAAGCTGGCTCAGTATCTTGGTTGATGCAGGTTTAATTGGACTGAGGATTGTATTCTCTTTAGGCAATCAGATTGTAATAACAGCAACCGGAGATGATCTATGTGACCTCTTCAGTATTTTAGCCAGCTGTTTGTGCTATATAGCATCAAAGTATTGACATATACATAGGTGAAGCTGCACAGACCTACTTTGCTGGATGTCCTTCTCTTCCTACTTTTTTGTTGCAATAGTTCAGGAGTGTTCAACATGAGAGAAATCATAGAATCGTAGAGTTGGAATGCCTTCCAAGAGAACGTAACAGATTGGTTACAATATTTTCAGTTAAATGAAATATTTAAGAATGATAAAAAGATAGGATTTGGTGTGAAATTTCAACCTTTCAGAGAGAAATAATAGAAAATGATGCGAAATTAATATCTAAAATGTACAGTCTGCTGCTGGAATGGGAAATGAAAGATGAAGGGGTCAAATCAGTTATGATTAAATGGGAACAAGATGTGGGACATAATATTCAGATGGCAGAATGGGGAAAACTATGGAAGAATGATATAAAATTTACAGCATGTGTGGCAATTAAAGAAAATTATATGAAAATGATGTATAGATGGCATTTAACTCCAGTTAAATTAGCAAAAATGTATAAAACTAAGGAAAGCAAGTGTTGGAAATGTAAAGTAACAGAGGGAACATTTTTCCACATGTGGTGGGACTTTAAAATTATAAATAAATATTGAGAAATGATGATGTTTAAAACAACCTTTTAATGTTTAAAACAACCTTTTTCAAAAAACCAGAAGCTTTCTTATTAGGTATTATAGGAGTGGACCTATTAAAATCACAAAAGAACTTGTTTATGTATGCAGCAACAGCTGCACGGACCTTATTAGCACAACATTGGAAAGAAGAAGGTGTCCCATCTAAAGAAGATTGGCAAGTTAAATTAATGGAATATGCTGAATTGATTATGAAATTAAGAGGAAAAGACGACAATGAATTTAGAAGAATGGAAGATGTTTATTGCATATACTGTATACAGAAGCAATGTACACAGGTTACTACATTAGCAGGGTTTTAAGATTACCGTACTTGTAATTTTGTTATGAATGAATGAATAGGGATTTAAATAGGTTAAAAGTTTAACAATAGACATGCAGTATGTTGATACATAATAGAACCAAGGAAGGGATTAGAGCAGGCATCCCCAACCTGCGGCTCTCCAGATGTTTTGGCCTACAACACCCATGATCCCTAGCTAACAGTACCAGTAGTCAGGGATGATGGGAATCGTAGTCCAAAACATCTGGAGGGCCGAAGGTTGGGGATGCCTGGATTATAGGGAAGTCAATTTGTTTTGTTTTGTTTTTGTATGGTTGTTTTTATGTTTGTTATTTTTGGAAAATCAGTAAAATGTTATCCCTCCCCCCAAGGAATGCCCTCCAAGTGTTATCTAGTCCACCCACCTGTGATGTAGGCATCTCAACAAAATCATACCTGGCAGATGGCCATCCAACCTCTGCTTGAAAACTTCCAAGGAAGGAGAGACCACCACCTCTCATGGGAGTCTGTTCCACTGTCAAACAGCTCTTACTGTCAGAAAGTTCTGATTTTTGTCAGAATCTCCCTTCTTGTCACTTGAATTGGTTCGTATCCTACCCTGCATTCCCCCTCCACACCATCATTTCTACACAGCTGGACACCCGAACAAGATTATCATTTCTGGTGTAAAATAAATGGGTGGAAGCTTATCTGTCTGATGTGTCTGCTAAGGAAGCTGATGTGTCTGTGGATGACCAGATGCAGAGGAGAGGAGAGGACTCCAAACCTTTAATACTTGTGCAAAGGAATGAATTTCAGCAGGTTTAGCTTTTCCCACATGAACCATTTCACTGGACAATATCCTCTCTTCTATCCCATGTTTGAAGGCATAATGATGACCATAAAGTTGT